TGTCTGTCTGTCTGTCTATCTGTCTGTCTGTCTGTCTGTCTGTCTGTCTGTCTGTCTGTCTGTCTGTCTGTCTGTCTGCCTGTCTCTCTCTCTCTTTCTCTCTCTCTTTCTCTCTCTCTCTCTCTCTCGCTCTCTCTCTCTCTCTCGTTCAATTCCCCTTCAAAACCACAGCAGCAAAATAATCTCCACCAAAGCCTGGATGTTCCTTACTTAACCCAGTCACTTGCATACATCGTTCTGATACTGGGAGCAGCTAGTATGTAGACACACATGAGAGTTTCCTCGATAAACACAGACGTGTATATCCGGCGGAATCTTTTGAAATCCTTATAATCAGACCCGCATGGCACAGAGATACACAGCGTTGTTGCAGGAGTTACTTCATAGATCTTCAGTGCAGCTTCCTGTGCTTTCCGTCCAAAGCCCGGATGTAGACAAGCAGAGGTTTCTCCAGAAACAAAAAACCGAAAACAAACCAAAGCAAAACGAAACAAACAAAACAAACAAAACAAACAAAACAAACAAAACAAAACAGAACATAAGCCATGTCGCATCTAAAGAGAACAGTTTTAAGAAATGGTCCAAAGCTCGATTCCTAGTGTTTACTCCAGATTTTTGTGTTGTTGGTTGGGTCTGTCCGAACAGTTTTGGTTCGCTCCCTTTTTGATGTAAATTTTGCAACATGAGAAGTTTGTTTACGCACATACCTGTCATGATAAGGATGTTAGGGTTTTCCTTTCTGTTCCCAGCATTCCAACTTTTTGACATTCATTGACAAACATTTCATTCATAAGCATTTTTATTTCCAAAAGCCCATTAAAATGGTTTCATGAGTAAGTCCAAACTTTACTTCCTTGATTTCGCCACGTTCTCCTAGATTTAACCACACTCCCTCAACCCTTAGCTCAAATGATGTGATCTGGTTCTTCTCTTTCCTCATAGTTACCTTAACCACCTCTTCTTTTATCTCCTCCTCCTGTTCTCATCTTTCTCATTTCCCTCCCCTTCCATCTTCTCCCCTTATTCCCCCTGTTTTCTTTTCTTTATACTTATTCTATTCCTTTTCCTGTCCCCTTACTACTAAATCTTCCCCAATGACTTCCACATTTTGTTCCTCCTGTCCTTTCCCTTCATTTCGCTTTCCCCCCATTTCCTCCTGGTACTTTCCGAACCTCTCTTATCTCCTTACCATTACAACTACCACCACCGCTTCCATCATCATCATTATCATCATCATCAACATCATCATCATCAATCGACATCTTTTGTTCCCCCTCATTTTCATTCTATCTGTTGCCATGTGTTCTCGTATGTTGCAGTTTCCGGTGCTATAGTTACCCAGAATGTGTATGTATGTGTGTGTGTATGTGCGCATGTGTGTGTGTGTGTGTGTGTGTGTGTGTGTGTGTGTGTGTGTGTGTGTGTCTGTGTGTGTCTGTGTGTATAGATGTGTTTTGAGGAGTTTTTTTCCCAAACACACTTTGCAAATTTCTTTTTTTTACCTTGGAACTTTTCATAAAACTTTTTCTAAAGAAAATGATATAATTGTGTCTCTGTGTCCATCCACAGGTGCCCCATTGGCTTCACGAACACTCGCTGTCAGGAGATCGACCAGGAGTACATCCTTAGCTTACTTAGTAACTCCCTCGTCTTCAGCTGATACCCCAGGCAGTGCACTGGACGCCTATGGTGACGCATCAGGTGAGGCGACCAGGTTCATTTTACTCAAGAGTGAGATTAGCGGCCCATTAGAAATAACAACATATTCTTTTTCGATGCCTGATCTTTTTATAAGCGCAAACAAGAGGGAGGGGAGATGATGTTAAAGTTAGATAGACACGATGCACTTTTCAGTAACTAGGTAAACAGCTTAGGTTTCTATTAAGTTGTCGAAACGATTCAAACATATTATACTATTATGTTTACTAGTTTATCATGGGATGTTTTCATTTCTCCGAACTGATCTAAATTGTGTCAAAAGGAGTCCTTAAAGAATTTCAGTTCTTCAGACCAGACAAAGAATTAGTTGTACCTCAATATACCAAGTTGCAGTAATGGTTCTGAAAGAACTTGTGAATAACAGTAATGAACGTGTAACAAGTTGTAGCACTGTACATCTCTGAGTGACTGAGATGGAAGATCGTGACGTATTTTGATCAAATAACGGAGATAGTTATTTTGGCCTTTCTTAGAGACAGACAGACAGCCGACTATGATAGAGTGCTGATGTCTTGAGCTTTCATTCACTGTAAACCATCAAGGGATAAGGGATGGATTATCATACAAATACGCTCACACACACAAATCTAATGACGTCATAAGTGACTCCCCTTATCTATCTATACAACAGCCTGACATATAGATGGGGTACGTTTATAAACACAAAACTTACCGTGTGCTCTGAAAGAAATCCTACGCTAAGACACCTGTGCTCCTATTTTGACAGTTTGGTTACACTCTGTAGACGAACAAGTGGACTTAAGCCGTACCCTTTCAGACCTAAAAATTAAACTCTGACAACTCGACATAAGGTGGTATCTTTTGTCATAAAAATTAACTCCTCTTAAAGACCTTATCAAGTAAACAAAATTACCCTCTTTGCTTTTAAATTGTGGATTAATGTCGGGAGACTTCTGCGATCAAATTTCTCTAATATTTTCTCTGTCAATATACACCTTCGATCGGAATCATTAGAATGGTCCGTTTCTGCGCACGCCGTGTCTAATTTTAGATCACAAAGGTCGTTCATCTAGAAATGCCTCCGTTTTTAGCTACTGGCAGACCAATGACCTTCCTGAATCTATTTCTGACTCGCTATCTTTCGTGTCAGAATGGACCTTTCACTCTAAACAACAAAAGAAGCCACATAGGGTATAGTTTTTTCTGTACAAATCTACCTCGGAGTAGCGTGAAAATACCCTAATTTGCCCAGAGTTTTATCTTACGACGTCATTCTAGGTTCGCCTTATAGGTGGACTGAGCTGGTCTCGGGTGAGTCATTAGGAACAAGTGTTTTTGAGGAATGTAGCCTACCCCCCAGCCCGTTATCACGGCATTCTCCGGAGTGATAAACCAGGTTAAGGCTTCCTCACAGAGTAGGTAGGAAGTCACCTGGGCGGTGTATGTTTCAGTTAGCAATTGGGAACCGCGAGAACTGTGACAGAGCAGATGAGATTTGCTGTGTGCCGACTTGGGGATTCTCAAGCTTCATCATTAATAGCTAGACAATTTTTTGGGTGGCAGAAACGCCCCAGCTATTTATTTATTTATCTATTTATCTGTTTATTTTTTTATCCAACTGTTTTATATACTATAAATAGAGTTGTTTTATTGATTTATTTATTTACCCAGCCGTGTTATATATTTCTCAAGCCTATTTATTTATTTATTTATTTATTTATCTGTTTATTTATTTATCTATCTGATGTATCTATTTATTTAATAATTATTTTATTGTGATTTCTATTTATTTATTTATAATATGTATTATTCTAAAATATTTGAATCCCCTTCCATAAGTCATACTTCTCAGTTATTCATTTATATATTCAATTCATTTATTGTTTAGGATGAGTCATTTACTCACGCATGTGTGTGTTCATTATTTTCAATTTCATGCATATTCTTATAAATCATGAGCACTTAGTCATTTGCCAAACACCGGTCTGACGTGAAGGTTATTTCTGGAACAACTGTCGAAACTCTGACCCCTTTCAAACCCCAAAATCGAAATTTTCGTTTTGCGATATTTGTTGGTCAATGGGTCGCGGGGGCCAGTTCTCTTCCACTCGCAATATTCCCTTTTATTTAACCAGTCCTTACCAGACGTTTGGTGACGTTTGGTATTCTTACCAATGTGAATCAATTGCTTGTCATGATATACTTGTTTATTGCTATTATACTAATAATATTTTCAACGTAGCACATCATTTGTTGCTATCGAGAATTACATTGTTTTTGTACAAGATTGCTCTCCCATTTGGATAGCCTCTGTTGGGGCTGTACGACTTGTCTATCTATCTATCTATCTATCTATCTATCTATCTATCTATCTATCTATCTATCTGGCGCCGTAAAACCCTCTACTAGAAACAAAAAACCTTATTGTGCTAACTGGGCTTGTTAGAAGATAACATACATTAGTATTCGTTTGGAAGTGACACAGGGCACTTAACTTAGTAGGCAACATATTGGACTGAGATGCAGCCAATTCTGGTTTGAATCCTAGTGGGAGGATTCTTATTTGGGCTGTTTGTGTGTGTGTGGGGGGGGGTCTGACTCTCCAACCACTTTGCTTAATTTGTCTGGACTGAAAGTGAAATTAAAAGTCCTCCATCTTAGTTAAATGTTCCGAGCTGAAAGGTGCGTCTAACCCACTCAATACCATGCGAGCGTGGCTCTTATCCATATCTCGCGTGCTGGATCCAAAACGGCGCTCAACATTACTCCATTACGTTCTTGCTCGGGGCACAAGGGGCGAGTAGACTTGAAACAAACAAATTAAAAGGGAACTAGCGGATGCTGAAAAGGTTGACCTTGGCGAAAGGTTCTTTTCATTTACAGAATCGAGCATTAGCGTGGGTACGAGTAAAGAAGGAAGGCACAAGGAAAAAAGGCAAAATAAAATTATTTTGCGTGGGTGATGGTGAGTGTAGGGTCTTTTGGGGGGCAAGGGCGTAAGATTTTCTTGGTGGGAAGTGGGCGGAGATGTAAAGGGTACCTTTAAAGAAATGTGAAGGCGGAACTTTCTGTATATAATAGGATCTACATCTTGTCTCATTCTCCGTTTTTCTCTTGCAACTCTTTACTTCGTACCTTCTTGAAACAGGACACTCATTTTTACTTCGTCCTTTTGATTGTCTATACAGTGTTCTATCGGAGATAAACTTGACATAACAGTGAATACATAAACCTCCCCCCCCCCCAAAAAAAAGCCAGAAAAGCAATCGGGTCTAGAAAAACCCCCACCTTCAAACGGTGCCACATCATCACCATCATCATCATTATCATCATCACCAGGTATCTTGTCTGGAGCAGATACTTGCATTATGGTTCTCCATCGCTCTACTCACTTTCATTCGAAACCCTTATGAATGAGTTATTGTTCATTGTGTTCTAAGATACTCAGGTGTTCAGGCTATTAAATGCATCTAGTGCGTTGGCGTCTTCGGCCTTTCTTCCCTTCGAAGTTTCCTCTCATGCGTCCACTTTTTACTGTAACAGTCCTCTTTTAAGAATGTCGTATTTGCTATATTATTCCTCTGTGGGCGTGTGTCTTTAAAAAAAAATGATGTTTTGTTTTGGTCGCTGTCTTTTCTGTGACGCGTATCTCTGCTTTTCTTGACGGCGGGGGCCCTCCTGGCTCGAACAGCAAGACAGCTCATAACATGGACACTCCGGTATCATTTCCTCCTCCCGCAGCTACGAAGGGAGCGGTCATTGGTCTTGACTCCGAGGGCTTCTCGGTTATTCTAACTACCGTAAAGCCACAGGGGTGCCAGATAGACGTTTTTTCATCTGTCCATGAAGGGTTCGGCTTTATGAGGGTCGCATTCCTGCAGTCTAAAAACACCTCCATCTCGCCGAGGAACGATGAGTATATTAGGATATCATTCATGGGACTGGGTAGGGAAATTGAATGTTTTTATCATATCAAATTCCACCATAACCTTGGTTGTGCGCTGGGTAATTGAATATTTTCTGTATCCAGCGCACTTGGTAAACCCTTTTGTGTAAAGAAACGCCACGCTTCAGAAAGATTTTATACACCACACACAGTAAGGGCGACGTATAAACAACCAAACTGGCACCAGTAGGATGCTGGAATTATCTACACGGTGGTAACTCCGATGGGGCGGGCGGG